CCACGGCAGGGTCCACGGCATCGCTGAGCGTGGTGCTCACGGCTGTGCTGTGGGTAAGGCAGCCCCTGGAAACAAGGTGGAGGAACCAGGGGGAGGAGGACGGTGGCCACGGACGTGACCACGGTCCACACGCAGTGGTGCCGCCAACGCAACACGAGACGGCGCACATGCTGCATCGCGGCTCACGCGGAGCTCGCACGCCGCACACTGAGCAGGACGGGCAGCCGTGAGGAAGGACAGCCCGCGAGGATGTGCTCCCGCTCCATCCCCTGGACACGGTGGATGGACGGAGGGAGTCAATAGGGGCTCCCCGTGCGGACAGCGAAGGGCGCGTGCGGATGAAGGTCTCATTCTCCACCTGGGCAGGCACCTGGCCGGGGGCCGCTTGTCCACATCCCCACGGTCATTGTCTAAGTGTGCGCACCTCCCCCACGTTTGTGTCATTGCACAGCTGAACCGAGGCGAGAGGCGGATAAACATGCTCTACAGCTCGGGCCGGCGGCCCAGTGGTTAGAGCGTCAGCCTGCACATCGAAGGTACTTGCTTATAAACGCTTCTGTATTAAATTCTAGAGGATGCCGACTGATTACAAACCTACGACTCCTCACCGGGGGCTGAGCGGAGGCCAGCCGGGCCATCGAGGGACGTCGCCATCACCTTTCAAGGAGAAGACATGGAATTTACAGGGAAATGCTATGTCAGGGGCCAGGCGAGATGCGACACACTTCACAGGTGGGGGCCAGCCCGGGCCGGCAGGCTCAGCAGGTCAGAGCATCACCCCGTGCACCAGAAGGCAGTGGGTTCGACGCCCAGTCAGGGCGCATGCCTAGGTTGTGGGTTCGATCCCTGGTCGTGGCATATATGGGAGGCAACCGATGGATGGTTCTCTCTCTCTCTCTCTCTGTGTCTCTCTCTTCCTCCCTCTCTGGCATCAATAAAGTAAAAAGATGGGGCCTACGGGGGAACCGGACACCCTGGGGTGCTGAGAAGAACTCAAAGCCAGCCCCCCTCGGGGAGGGATCAGGGTGCTGGGCTGGGCTCCCTGGGAGTGGAGGAGGTGCCTCGTCTCCTCTCCACACCCAGCTTTTCTTGAATAAGGTTTGGTTCTTGGAGGAAACAGCTCACCGACTCGACGCGGACGTGGCAAGTTTCAATCCGGTTTCTCGGCTCCGAAAAGTGACCACGAGAGAGGAAAGGACTGACCGTTCCCGCTGTCACTCTCACCGGTGCCCCGCCCTCACCACGGCGACCCGCTCAGGCTCATCCCACCAGCAGCTCCTTACGTTTCTTCTGCGAGAAACACGACCAACTCGAGTGGAAATGGAGACGCCCCCTCCCGCGCCCCCGGGCTGACGTCTCCACGTGCGCCGTGGCTCTTCTGCCCAAAGGCTAATGTAACATCCAACGAGCCCTTCACGGACACACACCCCTGCCCCCCACACCGCCTCTGCCAGGTCCCCATTGGGTGAGAGAGAAGGAACACGTCCTGGTCACGGCACCGTGAGTGACATTTCCGAACCGGCCCCTCCTCCAGAGCCTCCGCTTCTTTTTTAAAATATATTTTTGTTGCTTTCGGAGAGGAAGGGAGAGGGAGAGAGAGAGAAACATCAATGAGAGAAAACCATGGACCGGCTGCCTCCTGCACACCCCCCACTGGGGATCAAGCACGAAACCCGGGCCTGTGCCCTTGACCAGGAATCGAACCCTGACCTCCTGGTTCACAGATCGATGCTCGGCCACTGAGCCACGCTGGTCGGGCCAGAGCTGCCCACTTCTTAAGAAACAGGTTGCCCTAATTGGTTTGGCTCAGTGGGTGGAGCGTCGGCCTGTGGACTGAAGGGTCCCGGGTTCGATTCCGGTCAAGGGCATGTACCTTGGTTGCGGGCACATCCCCAGTGGGGAGTGTGCAGGAGGCAGCTGGTCGATGTTTCTAACTCTCTATCCCTCTCCCTTCCTCTCTGTAAAAAATCAATAAAATATATTTTATTTTTAAAAAGAAACCAGTCAAAAAGACATAAAACACACACAAAAACCACCCTTCCATAATCCAAGGTGAGGAACTTGCGAGTAACTGTGTCACGTGGCTCATCGACACCCCTCACCCTCTCCTTCACGCGCCGCTGGGCTGGTCGCGCGGGACTCACCGTGGACACGGAGCATGCTCCCGCCCGCTCACTGCGCCTCCGTGACATGAGTCCTGCCGGGTCTTTCTCATTCTTGCAACTGCCTCTGGGGCCGGAGGTTTTGCTCCCAGAAAACGCTGACCTGTCTCTTCTCTTTGGGAACAGAACAAGAAAGCCCTCCTGCTCTCCCAGCAGCGGTGCCCGCGCGGGTAGCTCTCCCCGCTTCATTGCGGTCTGGGTGAGAAACGGAACTGGCTGTGCCGGCGGTACACCCCATGCCGGCCTACGGGGCATGTGTGAGTGATACGATGGCCACCATGGAGGGGACCGATATGGCCAACCCCCCAGAGTTTCGTTACTATTTTGCTGTGCCGGCGGTACACCCCATGCCGGCCTACGGGGCACGTGTGAGTGAAATGATGGCCACCATGGAGGGGACCGATAGTGCCACCCGCCCCCCCACAGAGTTTCGTTATTATTTTGGGGGTGTTGCTTATAGGTAAGATCTGTTCTCGGGGTGAATTTCAAACACACAACACAGTATTATCAGCTGTGGTCACCGTGGTGTAGGTCAGACCCCAGAATGTATGTCTTTCAACGGAAAAGCTGTCCCCTTTGACCAACGTCTCCCCCAGCCCCTGGGAGCCACACTGCCTTGTGGCTCCACGACTGGACTTGTTCGATCCGGCGTGTAAGCGAGAACACGCGGTGCTTGCCTTCCCCTGACTGATCTCACTCGGCCTGACGCCCTCAGGGCCGCCACGGGTCCCGACGGCGAGATCCCGTTCTCCCTGCAGCTGCATAATGGACGTCTGCACCACGTGCCTGCACGTGGGTTCTCTGTGGCCAAAAGGAATAAAACTGTAAAAGAAACCCAAGAAGGCTTCCTAGCGGAGGCACTGAAACCCTGGGGGAAGGACACCTTTTCACGGCTGCATCGGAGAAATGGGAGGTTTCCATCCAATCAGAATGAAGAGGAATAGCGCCATCTCACCAGAAGGCGCCCGGCCCTGAGCAACCCCATCAGAGTTTCATGGGACGCAGCTCGTCCCTGCCGTTTGATTAAGACCCTCGTTCAGATGCCTCCCTTTGAGTTCCCCTGCTCGCTTTAACGGGGTCCGTGCAAACAGGAATTCCTGGCAGCGGAGCTAGCGTCTGATGCTGGAATAAAATCTGACCAACCGACCAGTTACACACAAACCACATGACTGGGGCCGTGACTGGGGCTGAGTGGCGGACACAGGCCATTCCGTGACCCCAGCCAGCCGCCCCCGCTGGCCCGATCGATGGCCCAGGCCCAGAACCTGTCTCTGAGGACGTGGGACTCACTTTCTCCAGGAAGTGCGTCTCTATTCGGCGTCATCCACGGTCCCGTCTGAAGTTAGAAGGGGCTGGGGGGCTGCGTGTGGACACGCACGTCCGGGTCAGTCCTCCTGCCGACGACCCGGAGAACCACCAGCGCCCGCGTGGCTTCCTGGCTCCACAGCAGACACGCGTGTGGCCCGGAGACACCGCCCCTCAGCCCCAACT